GGCTGGTAGAAGTTTATCTGGGCTGTTGCCAAGTGTCCTACTACGGCTTCAAGCGGGCGGGGGTATAAATATATAATAAAGAGTTGTGGGACCTAATGGATAAGCATTAAGCAGGAGTGTTAGGTGTGATAGGTGGCCAATAAGATCACGCGAGGTGGGGAGAATCTAGACCGTCCACGTATGGAAATACTAACCGTCGGTTTTTGAAGGAGACTTTGGTTTTGTCGTTTAGTTGCGACGGATAGTACGGCAGTTGGACGTCCGTTTGTGTTTTGGCCAATTAGGATTTGGTCTTTCACTTGGCTGTACAGTATTTTTGACGTCGTTATGACATCATTGTTGTGAATTTTCAAACATGCCGACATTACTGTTGAAAGATATTTATATAAGGATAATTACAACATAACGTCCTCATCTTTCAATGTTATTGTGGAAAACGTCCATACCTTTCATTTTTTGGTATTTACACCTTTATTTTCACTTTTTATTGCACAAATGGTCATTTTCACATACTTCATCAATTAAAAATTATGAAATGTCGAATACACCCCTCTTTAAATAAAAGAAAAAGAAAAAAACTAATTGCAATCACAGTCCCAATTTTTTTAAAAGTGCAAATAAGTCACAAATAAATTATTAAAATGGTAATTATCACATAATGTCCCTATCTTTCACTGTTATTGTGAAAAATGTCTATACCTTTCTTTCTTTTTTGACATTTTTACCCTTAATTACACATTTGATTGTACAAACCATCATTTCCATCCAATTTTTCAATAAATAACTGTAAAATATAGAATATACCCCCCCCTATTTAAATAAGTTTTTTTAAATTTCTAATTCTTCAATAATTTATTTGGGACTTGTTTGCATTTTTTTTATTTTTAAAATTTTTACATAAATTAAATTGAGACTCTTTTGCACTTTTTTAAAAAAAATTAATATTTTTAATAATTTATTGGCAATTTGTTTGCACTTTTTTTAAAAATTGGGATTATGATTGGAATTAATTATTTAAATGTTTATTTAAATATGAGGATATATTCGTCATTTCACATGTTTTTATTGAGAAATTGGATAGAAATGATGGTTTGGGCAATCAAATGTTTACTTAACGGTGAAAATACCAAAAAAAAAAAAATTGAAAGGTATCGACGTTTTTCGAAATAACGGTGAAAGATATGGACATTATGTACTAATTACCATTTTAATAATTTATTTATACTTATTTGCGCTTTTTAAAAAAAATTGGGACTCTGGTTGCAATTGATTTTTTCTTTTTGTTTTATTTAAAGAGATGTGTATATTCGTCATTTAATAATTTTTAATTGGGAAAATATGTGAAAATGAACTTTTGCGCAATGAAATATGGAAATAAGTGTGAAAATGTCAAAAAATGAAAGATATGGACGTTTTTCACAATAATAATAAAATGTGGGGATGTTATGTGCTAATTACCCTTATATAAAATTATATCATTTTGTTTATATAAATATATAAATAATAGAGGGGGAAATAAAATCCCTTCATGGTTGCGTAACTATTGTGTTATTTATTTGAAAGAATAATATTATTTATCATTATAATGATGAGACATCGATAGTATGACAATCTACGTGAAATAATGAAATTAGACAGTTAAATTTTTATGAAAAACAAGGGGGAGGAGAGAGAAAGAAATATGAGAAAATTGGGTTGCCACATAACCGATATTTCATCATCATGATAACAAATAGCGTTACTCTTTATGAAATAATAAAAAAATATAATGGATAAAATATTTATTCAATGTAAAATAATAAGGGTAGAGGAGAAGATTCTGTATAGGGTGATTATAATAGCAAGTCTTCAGCATTTATTCATTGTAATATTTATATTTTTGAATTGTTTAATCGTGTTTTTATCTTTAATATTTCATTAACTAGTAAACTTGTCATTACTCACGATTTTCGTCCGATAATACTATTGACTTGGGAGAGGCAATTTAGGAGTTGTAAATAAATATTTTTACTATATATATATATATAATTTTTTTTTTATTTTCTTTTCTTTTTTTTTCTTTTTTGACAGAACATGCCATTAGGGACAAGTTGTGTTAATTTGAGGATAAGAATGTATTAAAAAAGTTGTGTTTATTTAGTCTTCTATACATTTTGACATGTGAAATCCAACATGAGATAGCCTATATGGACATGACTATATCATGACTTTTGGAAAAGTATACATTGTTTAGACGAATAGGTATCATAGACGGGACATTTAGGCAAATGGCAATTCAATTCTTTGAATTGATCAATGTATAAATGGTCATAACAACAATTAGTCCGATTTAATCTTGAGTTCGATAGTAAACTTATACATCATTATTATCGTTATTATTTTAGGATTCATACAAAATAGAAGATACAAGAATTAATCCTCTTGTACCGAAAAGGGACTGCTGAATGGTGTCCCTCCTCTCACATGAGGCGCGGCACCCATATATATTAAATAATGTCGACCCGTGGCCCCCCACCTCCTATTGTGAGTGGGGTGTAAAAGATTTGGTAAAAAAATTCGATACATGTAGCATTGTCCAAGATACAATATATAGAATTAGTCAACCTACAAAGTCGAATTCGTCCTCTCATTTTTAATACTTTGTTTCCTTCTCTTCATAGAAGTCAAAAAAAATGAAAAATAAAAATTATTTTCTCTCCAAGACCAACAAAGGCTAAAATTGGGTAGTTTCACATCATGATCCCAATTCAAGATTTGTCGATTGAGGAAAATCTGATTGTGCCTGTGGACATTTGACAACATAACAAAAGACAAACCATTTCTATCCCTTTCTAAAATTTAGTTTGGTTCTTCGTTGTAGTGCACTAGGACTTGTGCCAAGTGGCTAGATACAAGAGATGTATAAACAACTTTTGATTTTGACAAATGCTAGTGTCGTTCACATTAATAGAACTAATTATTTGATAATAACGTGACTTTTAGTCTCATTTTATCTTTCTTTGCACTTACTTGATATGCATTATTGTCATTTGAAAAGTTAGGCAGATAAGGTAAAAATAATATAAGGATTTGAGCTACTTCTTAACAATGTCGATCTTTGAATATAAAATTCTAAAGTTCATTGACTTTAAACAAACAATTCGGTCTGACGAACATTTGAACTTTAATATTTCGATTCATCAGAAGCTCAAACAAACATTTAAATTCCAATCTTGTGAGACGTGTTAAGAATTAAACACATATCAAATAAAGATGAAATCTTTAACCAAAATATAAGAATTTATGCTTATTAAAGATAAAATCCCATGTTGTTAAAAGCTAAAAATATCAATCAACATATAAGAACTAGATTGTTCCTCCTAGTAAATAGACCAATAAACTTATTCCTATATCAATGGCTTATTAGCACAAAACATCCATACGCAAAGCATTTAGTGTGCAAAACATCTTTACGTTTCAAATTTTTGCATTTTCACCCATATTTCCATGTTTCATTGTAGAAGTCATTTTTTCAGTTAAAAGTTGTGAAATAACGAAAATGCCCTATAAAAAAAAAAGAAAAAAAAGAACAAATTAGAATCATAGTCTCAAAATTTCAAAAACTTACAAATGAATCTCCAATGTATAATTAAAAATCCAACATACGCCAAAAACTCA